ATTGACCCTAATCATGATAAATATAAATGAGAAATGCCTTTCTGTTATGAAGATATGATCATGAGTAAAAAGTACCAAAAAAAACACAAAATGGCGCCTGGATGACGTCATGAAGACTTGATGACCTTGAAAATGTTCCTGTCACGTCTTATGACAATGACCTATGACTGTGCCAAAATTGAACGAAATTGACTAAACTGATCTTGAGTTATCGTCGGAACAAAAAAGTGGGAACAATAAATAAAAATAAAGAATAAATAAATAAAGAAGAAAGAAAATTCTGACGAAAACAATAGGTGATCTGTCGTTGACAGACCACCTAATAATAAGAAAGAAAGAAAATTCTGACGAAAACAATAGGTGATCTGTCGTTGACAGACCACCTAATAAAACAATGATATACATCTGGGAGTAGGTGTGGGAGGGCGTCCCCCCCCCCACACTGAAAAAACAAAAATCTGATTTTTAGATCCCCCTTTGCGTGATAATTATGATGAATAAATGTGATTTCATTTTGAAAGCAAATTGATAGATAAAACATTGCATAAATATCAAACACCCGGAATATGTGTGGGAGGGTTTTTTTTTTTCACCCTGAGAAAATTTTGAGATTTGAAAATATGAAAAAGGATATTTTTATGATAAAAGGTTTGGTTTGTCAGATTATTCACTCTGCTGAAAAGAGTTAAGATTATTTTACAACTAGAAAAAAAAATAGAAGACAGAAAGACAAAAATATATCAAATTTGCAAATTTGCCAAGAAAGTCATGAGTTAAAAGATCCTCAAATTTACACATTTTACCACAAAAATTAACCACCCTGATTTAGAGACGAGCTTGTTGCGCAGGGGTGGTCTAGGACTAAGAATCCGCTCAGAAATTTACATGCAATCGGCCCCCCCCCCCCTATTCGATGCCAGCTCCAAAGCCAAGTTTATTTGAGACTGACTACTAATTTTTCTGATTATCAGTCTTAAAAAGTTTTTTTTCTTTTCTTGTACGACTTGAAAATGAGTGGACAGTCGTTCCGGCCCCCATCCCATATTTATATACCTCTCTTTAGTATCATGAATAAATCTAGTCATCTGATTGGTCGAAATTGGAGTTGTGATTTTAGCCATGCCCGCCTACTGGTCAATAGTTTTTTTTAAAGATGCCCGTTGCCCCCCGGGTAACTGGCATCATAAATAAATTTTGCTGAGATTCCCATTGGTTTACTTGTAAAAATTTTCTCAAGAAAAGGATCAGGTAAGAATTCATTGTATATTTGTTTGTGAATTTGGTATATAAAAGATATATTGACTGCTTTGATATTCAAAGCATAGCTGTTTCTATACTGGCTCTTGAGGAAGCACTTGATGGCAGCATAGTATTACAAGTATGTTGTTAATTATCATCTGAAATCAAAGAAATCTCATGATATTTTTCTGTTGCTTTACCAAAACTGTACCTATTAAGGCCTTTAAATATATACTTTCGGTTGTTGAGAAATATTTTCTTTCTACTTTGACAGCCAACAGAGATACAGAAAGATGGAAAGTGGTGACTGGAGACCTCCAGTTAGCAACCATTTCTATCACAAACCTACAAACAACAGACAGCAATGTGTTCCAGTGTATAGCTACCAACATGTACAAAGAGGAACTCACCAGTGTTGTACTCAATGTAGTCTGTGAGTATTTATTTTACCTTGGTCACTTTGAAATCTGCCCCAAATTCTTAACAAGAATATATTGCGAGTTTTCACAAGGCATGTCTCGGACTTCACCTGAGTGATTTCAGATCGATCAATCACTCATTTTTATGCCTTCGTTACGAAGTAGCCGGAGGCATTATGTTTTCGGGTTGTCCGTCCGTCCGTCTGTACGTACGTACGTACGTCCCGTTCTCGTGATCGCGTTATCTGAAGAACTGATTGATGGATTCCTGCCAAACTTTGGTCATGTATGTATCTTGCAGAGCAGATGAACTGATTAGATTTTGGGGTTACGAGGTCAAAGGTCAAAGGTCACAGGGCTCATGTATGCAAAAACAGCTCGTGATCGTGTTATCTGAAGAACCGATTAATGGATTCCTGCCAAACTTTGGTCATGTAATGTATCTTGCAGAGTCAAAGAACTGATTAGATTTTGGGGTCATGAGGTTAAAGGTCAAAGGTCACAGGGCTCATTATGTATGCAAAAACAGCTCGTGATCGCGTTATCTCAAGAACCGAGTGATGGATTGCTGCCAAACATAGGTCATGTATGTTACTTGCAGAACCAATGAAGTGATTAGATTTTGGGGTCACAAGGTCAAAGGTCAAAGGCCACAGCGCACATTATGTATGCAAAAACAGCTCGTGATCGCTTTCTCAATAACCGATTGGTGGATTCCTGCCAAAATGAGGTCATGTATGTTACTTGCAGAGCCAATGAACTGATTAGATTTTGGGGTCACAAGGTCAAAGGTCAAAGGCCACAACGCACATTATGTATGCAAGAACAGCTCGTGATCGCTTTATCAAGAACCGATTGGTGGATTCCTGCCAAAATGAGGTCATGTATGTTACTTGCAGAGCCAATGAACAGAGTAGATTCTTGGTTCATAAGGTCAAAGGTCAAAGGTAATGGGCTCATTATGTATGCAGAAATAGCTTGTGAACACATTCTCATTAGAACTGACAGATGGATTACTAGGGACTTTTAGATTCGCACGAAGACAATAGGTCTATGCTACGCTCGACGTCCTTTTAAAGCACTGCCTTGAATGGACGTCACACGAATTAGTCCACGCAAATCTAAAAGTCCCTATTATTTAACTCAGGACATCTTGCAGAGCCAATGAACTGAGTAGATTTTAGGGTCATGAGGTCAAAGATCAAAGGGTCATATATGTATATGAGAAATTGCTTGTAATCACGATATTCTGAGAACCTGTTAATGGATTACAATTGAACTTGAATTTGAAAAATGTGTTCTGTTTTGGTTTGTAAAATTGCTCTATGACGGAGGCATCATTTTCGACTGCGCGCAGTCACATTCCATCTAGTTTTCTCTCTACTCTTATAGGCAATTCTATTTGATGGTTCATGGTGAAAGAAATTTGTTGATTTGGTATAGACACGGTTTGCACCAGCTGTTAATCAGCTGTATTCACTTCTTTTTATTGGGAGAGAGAGAGATAAACAATCTTGAGAGTCTACTAGATGGATCAGTGGTAGAGCAGTGGTCTCGTAACCGAGAGGTCCTGGTTCAATCCAAGTCAATTCGCTTAAATTGTCCCCTTTGGTAAGCCATCAATCCTCATTACCAACTAAAGCCATTATTGCCCAGGTTAGTTGCTTATACTTACAAGCATATACATGCTTTCATAGCAGTGAGGTAAAACAATAACTAGCCATCAATTATTAAATGACTTTATATGGAGGAAATTAAGGCATGCATGAATGCATGATGTTCTTTTCATGCTACTTTAATGGCAGGGTTTTGGTTCTTTTGGTATTTTGGTTATTGATTAGGTCATTGTGGTACTGACTTCAATGGACACACCAAGAAAAGTGAGTAAATTAAATAAATTGGGAGTCAAGTGATAGTTGAATACCAGTATTGTAATCTGTTCCCCCGGCCAGCCCCCCCCCCCCCCACTCAGTGTTATTTAGGGTACGCGTATGCTTGTTCCCTCTTTTCTTAAAGACCCCCTATCTGAGTACTGCCAACATTTCCGAACCTCCCTTTCAGCCAGGATAGTATTAGTAATGCAGCTGTGTGTGAATTAGGGTAGCCTACACTACAGTACAAAACTACATAGGTCTAGATCCAAGTTCCCTCTTTTTGAAAAGACCCCCTATCTGAGTACTGCCAACATTTCCGAACCCCCCTTTCGCGGGCTTTTCACTGGCTTTTCCTGCCTTGGAGACCCCCCTAAATCCGGAACACTGCTCAATGTACCCCTATCTCAGGACATGCAGACACCCCCCCCTCTCATCTCAGATAAGCTGCCATTACTGCATGGTTGGCACTTCTTCAAGTTCTTCTTCTTGATCATTTTGAAGCACAATTTTTTTAGGGCATCAATATTACACCATATCACAGACACTGATAACATGAAGGGCCTTATTGCATCTCAGATTTACCATTGTTAAACGATCCCTTTAATACACAGCCAGGATAGTATAAGTAATGCAGCTGTGTGAATTAGGGTATTGCCTACGTACACTACAGAACAAAACTACATAGGTCTAGATCCAAGTCCCACATATTCATTTTCATGGGTGTAGGAAAATGAGTTTGAAAGTGTTACTATTGCGATCAAACTATAGGGCAAACTACTCACCTGAATGTGCCATCCTGTGAGCCACAGGTAGACAGCCACAATATCCACAACGAGGAGACTGTGGGTCCTGCTCAAAGACGTCGCAATCAGACAATTTTGGCAGGGCTCACGCCTCATACCCCATCTTGATGCCCCGGCTTGATGCCCAGTCTAGCCCGATATGCATGCTGAGCGTGCAGCTAGCGGATGCGCCGTACAGACTATACGTTCTGTTGTTATCTCTCTCTCTCTCTCTCTCTTACACAGATTTTGAGAAGTCCGTACTGCCGCCGTAGTACTGGGACGGGAGTGCATGGGACTCTATGTTTTTACTTTTCATAATGAAATAATCCTGAATAAGCTTTCAAAACTAGCAGGAATTTCTGAAATCTGATCGCGGGATTTCATCAATTTTTTTATGTTCAACTTCAAGATATTTTATAACCCCCTTTTTTAATTACAAAGAGATGAGAGAAAAACACCCCCTTTTTAAAGAAATCTCCGGGTGAAAGTCAAATACACCCCCTTTTTTTACATTTCTCGGGCCGGACTTTGTCCCACGAAAAGTACCCCTTTACCAGGAATTTTGGTAACACGCATGCGGTCATTTCGAAACCTGAGTGGGGGGCCGGGTCTGTTACTAACATTGTGTATTAATTGTTATCTCTTACATGACTTTTCTGTCTCTCCTCCCCCCCCCCCCCATTATGTCTGTAGTCATCCCTGCTAGTATACCTAGTTTCACACCTCTGACAAGGAAACTGAGTGTTTTACAGAATGACTCTGCCAAGTTCACCTGCCATGTTGAAGGAAGACCTACTCCAACCATAACATGGACCTTCAAGGGATCAGTGGTAAGCAGGCTGCTCAACATTATTAACACTACTGTTGCTTTTTTCGCATCCCTGCACACTGCATTCATATCAGTTATCAGCATAAAGAATGAGAGCATTCATGTTTGCATTGATGCTAGATTTGTGAAAAGAAAATGTGACCTTTCTCCGTTTTTGTTCATGTGGATTTTGTTGTGGCTTTAAAGTATATAATCTTGACCCAGATGAGTGTGAAAATATTCAATTCTAATGTAAATCAGTCCCTATGAAGAAGAAGCACTCTCAGCCGTACTGCTGCAGTACCATGAGTTCTGTTGCCAGAAGGTATATATAATATTGACCCAGATGAGTGTGAGTATATTCAGTCTAATTCAGTCCAATAAAATGGCGACAGACGGTCAATATTATACACTCTAAGGTGACAGAGCACTGGCATGTGGAGGCCCAAAATTTTGGAACAGTCTCCCAGTATCGGTAAGTCAAAGTTTTCAAAAAGGCCCTTAAAATTTATCTTTTTGATAACCATGAATTGTTCATTGCACTTTTATTATGAACCAGTTGACCAACAGAGACAAATACACCATCAATGAAACTGAGGGAAGCCTAGTGATCAACAATGTCAAGAAAGTGGATAGCGGAGAATATGAATGCAGAGCCGAAAATGGAGAATATCATGAGGCAACGGGTAGTGCAACCCTGACAGTGCTAGGTGAGAGGTTTTTTTTTAATGTAAATTTTCTTATTCTTGCCTTCTTTTTAGTTTTGATTTAGATTTTCTTAATTATAATCCTTTCTCTTATTCCTCTTGCATAGGCTTGCAAGTACCATTTTCTTTTTTCACTTCATTAAAACTGTACTCATCCTCACTACTGTCTATATTGATGTTATTAAAGGTAAAGACCAGTATTGGAAACGCCCCAATTTCAAAAAATGAAATGGAAGCTCTTATTACCAATCATAATTTGTGAAAGAATATGTTTTTATTATTACATGACGATAAAAATTTTGACGGGAAACCGCCTACTAATTGATATATTTGGTAAATTAGTATATCTCTTGCCTGTTGAGAGATACAAATGAACGTATCGCGCACTTGTGTGTAGTCCCATATACATCTTTCTGTGTACAGTGCTTCTTACTTTATGAAGACTTGGCCAAATTTCTTATAATTTTGATGATTCCAGAACCTTGCAGTACATCTAGATGACCAACCTTTCTGATCGATTTCACAACGTTTCTTTCACTATGCAATTGCATGACCATAACTGGTCTTTAGCTTTAACATTTCCTTCCGAGTTCTTGTTTTCAGAGTACCCATTGACATTGAAGTCCTTTGTTTCGCCACATATTGCAAAATGTCCCCTTTTCTTGCACTTCTCACACGTCTTGTCCCTCGCCAGGCATTTGGAGCCTTTTGCAAAGTGCCCATCTGAAACATAATTGCTGTTTCCTCCCGTAGCACCTCCCGTAGCACCTCCCTCTTGTCGTTGACCATCTCGCCCTCGCCTTGAGTAGGTTGTTGGGTCCTGACTCGCTGTCACAGCATGGATGCCTCCTGGATCATGCTCTCGTCCACCTGCTCATCTGGCTCTCTTTACTTTAGGTCGTGGATGCAATTGTCTGTAACTGATCAAGAGTCAGACTATGCCCCTTTTCCAATAATTTAATTAGCGTGGATTTTGGACGACCTGCACTTTTTGATGACTTGATCCCGGATATTTTCATCCACATCTTGGAATCTTGGAATAGCCGCTTTCTGCCGAGGTCTTGTTACAAACTGTTCAATGTTCTCATTCATCCTGCTGACTTTCTCTTTCCCCTCCTTCCACCAAAGTTGTACCTTTTGTATATTTGAAGTGTCTTCCGGCAATGCAAAGTAAATGTCCTGCACCTCGGGTCCAGTGCAATGTAGCAAAACTCTTTCTTTTGTTCCGGGTTCGAAACCCCTTTCCCTGTAACATAGAGTTCAAAAGACTAACGCCACTGAGTCCATGACTGGGAAATCTGAGCCGGATCTTCATAAGGGTTGAACTGACCCACTCCTTGTACCTCAACCTCTATAAAAACTGACATTGTTGCACGCTCTTCCTTTACAATTGACAAGAAATAATGCAGTTCCTTGCTGTTATTCTACTTTAACTTTAACTTATTCCTCGTCGCCACTTGTAGCATTCAAGCCACACTTTACAAAGTATATGCTAGTTTGAGAGAGATGTGAAAGGTATAGAAATAGACAATACCATTATCAAATTTGTTGATGCCGCTAGAAATCTTGGCGTGCAGCTAGACAAAAATCTTACAATGAAAGCTCAAATCAATAATGTATGTCAAACCAGTTCGTTTGCTCTGCACAAAATTGGAAAAATCCGCCAATTCCTAACCAAAGAAGCTACTAGGCAGCTGGTTCATGCCCTGGTTATATCTCACATAGATTTTTGCAATGGTTTACCATATTCTCTTCCTGATGTTCACACCAATAAATTACAAAGAATCCAAAACTCAGCAGCCAAAAAACAATTGCATTGGCTGCCAGTTAAGTCCCGTATTAATTATAAGATCCTTTTTTTGACATATCAATGCCTAAAGGGTACAGCCCCATCTTACCTCCAAGATCTCATTCTACAATATACCCCTACAAGAAAATTAAGATCAAATAGTAAATCCCTCCTGGTAACTTCAAGCACTCAAACAAAATATTATGGCACTCGCTCTTTCAAAAATTCTTTGGCCAAATTGTGGAACAGCTTACCTGATATTGTCAAACAGGCAAGCACAACAGAATCATTTAAGATTCTGTTGAAGACCTATCTTTTTTGTTAATTTTTAATTTTGTTCCAGCTGTTTAGTGACTTCTTTGGTTATAGTATCATGTACATATTTAATTTAATTTTCATATAATTTTCATTTTTAAATTTGTATTACCTAAATTACGTATCATTATTGTTATTAGCACTGTGTGCGTCGGCCAAAAGGCCTTGTGCATTAGCCGAACCAGCGGCCGAACCGGCGGCCTGCTGATTGGTCGAGCACCATGTGCGTCGGCCAATAGGCCTTTGGCGTTATTGTTCCAATTATTGATTGAATTATTGACCGCTGCGCTGGTCCTCCCGTAGAGTAATCAACACGCTTGCTTACAATAGTTTTTATCACCTGACAAAGTGTTGCAGCGGCACACAAAACGTTGTGATCTTTTAGATCCCTTATTGACCACATTGCGAGACAAACGAATATCACTAGCGATATTATTTTCGACATCATTATTCTTGTTCATAATTAATTTCCTTTTCTCTATTTCCTTCTTTTCTAAGCGCATAGGGACTTTCTTTGTGTTAGTGATATGCGCTTTACAAATAACGTTCATTAGATGGTCTGTTGTCAACAGGGTGGTCTGTTGTCAACAGACCGCCCATTGATTTCGTCAGAATTTTCTTTCTTTATTATTTATTATTTATTATTATTTATTTGTTTTTATTTATTTCTCCACTTTTTTGTGCAACCGATTTCTCAATATCCATCCACCCAATTTTTCTCAATTGACACAGTCATAGGTCATCATCATGAGATATGACAAAAAACTTTTCAAGTTCATCAGATTATCGTGACGTCATCCAGGCGCCATTTTGTGAAAATCGACTCCTGATCATATCTTCATTGTCATTGCTCATTCATATTTATCATGATAAAGGTCAATACCTGTCCGGTCAACTTAAGGTCAATTAACGCGCACGTACGCGTCCGTCCGCGCACAAATTTTTAAATGTTTAAAATCACTTTTTGATCGAATTAGAGTACGCTTCAGGCCATTTGCAGCATTTCAACAAATTTGTGTGTGCACACCTATGCACGCGCGTTTTCGTGCGTAATGTCAAGATATTGATCATTTTATTCCAAACAATTTGATACCATGTTTATCTCTTTATGACCATTAATAACGAAATGAGCGTCCATTCAAGATATATGTCCGTGCGTGCGAGCTCTTGTAATACAGCATATATGGACAAAAACATGCCTATACAAAATCCATTATAGCTCTTTGGGATGCCTGTTGACCCCCAAATTTGTTTTCATATTCAACCAAAGTATGTGTCGCAAAATCGATTTCAGGTCTCCTTTTGCCCTTAAGTATGTTATGACATCATCACAATGGCCTTGGAACTCAAATAACGAATTTGCATATTATGATATCAGCATATTTATGGACATTTGATTGTATCTCTGTTAATATTGATCACTTTTCTTGCAAATTTCGGTATGTTGTAGCTTGACTATTCTTAACAAGATCAGCATTCACCAGATTTAATAACAGACCACCTAATTCGTCTTCATGACGAATTCAATTTCTCTTTATTATTATTATTATTATTACTTTATTGAGGTTCAATTTAGACTGCCTTACAAACAGGCTGCTTTCTATAGATAACATTGAGAGTGATATGTACATGACAGGTGTAGACACATGCAAACAATGTTCATGGCTATTATGACCATTACTGAATTAGGGTTGGTGCTAGCATGAACCTACTACGTATTTTACCAGGCTGCCCGCCAGTAACCTTTAGAGTTGGTCAAGTGTCAAGACACTACATACGCCTGCCCCCCCCCCCACTCCGTGAACAGAGGGATACCATGCATGTTCCCAAAATGTCCGGTAAAGGGGTACTTTTCATGCACCAAAGTCTGGCTCGTAGTGCACAAAAATCCGGCCCGTATTGACTTTACACACCGGACTTAGGGGGATGTTTTCAAAAGGAAGGAGCATGCATATGCGTACCCAAAATAACACTGAGTGGGGGGCCGGGTTGTCATTTTAGAGCAAGTTGAAGTTATTTTGCAATTTTCTTGAAAACTGCAAATTAAGAGGGCCAATTTTCTCAAATTTGGTCAGCAATAGGGTATACATTTTTTATTTGTCTGGAAAAGGCTTATCTTCAAGTATTCAAATCCAAAAAAGGGTATGGGTTTGGCCCGACATGATGGAGCTACGTCCACAGAAAGAAAACGAATTCCCATAACTTTAGAGGGCGCTATTCATCTTTTGCATAACCATTGGAGCGTAGAATTTAGTGTGGCTTTGTGCAATTATGAGATAAAGATACTGTAAGAAATTGAGACAAAGCAGAATTGGTACGGGAAAGTGATGGCAATTTTTAGATCTTTAGGGGTCTATTTTTCAGTCGGTTTCAGATTTGAATTTTGAAGATGGTATTTTGAAGGTCAGGTGAATCGCAGATGATAAAACATCTCATAGACTATCTAGAGGAATTTGTTCAAAGTCTGCAGGATCCACGATGGTGGAGATATATAGGAAGGAAGAAAGATAGGCCTTAATACAGCCAAGAAACAGACAAAATGGCGCCTGGATGGTCACGCATGGGTGATTTCCAACAAAACAAAAAATTAGGTGACGTAGATTGGATATCTGAGATTATGCCTACAAAATTTGAAAGGAATTGGGCAAGAAGAAAGGACCTAACTAGGAATAACAAGCGATACGTGCAAAATGAATGGGATTTCATGACAAGAAGAATAATAGGGCTGAATGTGAACGAAAACAAAGCAATGACAAAGATCTTCATTGCAATTTTAGGGACAAATAAGTATTCATTTCAATGATTGGTCTGTAATGAGGTCCCCTGCGAGCAAAGTGCCAATGTTCACACCCATATGTATGCCACCTGCCATTAGTGAAAGCAACAAAAAGAAAAATATTTGATTTAAGAATTTGTTAAACTTTTGCATAGTGCACAGTTTGACCCAGGCAGAACACATGTCTTTTATTTGGATCCAGGCCAATATGACATTAATATAGGGGGAGGAGCATGATATTTATCATGAAAATGCTGCCATCTTTATAATAACACTAATGATTGAACAGTTCTTTAATAACACATACCCTTGAGATGGTCTCAATGCACTTAGGAAAAAGTAAGAAAGAAGTGATACAATTAAAATAGCAATTAATCAATTAAATGAATATGTTTTAAGAGCAGTTTTTATTTTTTATTTTTAATTACATTTTTGAATCAAATTTTGTAACATAATTTTTTTGATTTTATAAGGACTTGTGTGTGTCGGTGATATTACTATCCCCTCGCCGACAAAGTCAGAGGGGATATAGAAACGCTGCCGTGTCATTCCTTCCGTGCGTCTGTGCGTCTGTAACAAATTTGGTTTCCGATCGATAACTTCAGTAATGATTGACAGATTTTAATGAAATTTGATATGAAGATACATGATATCAAAATACAGGCTAAGTTCGATTGTGGAGTACGTAGGTCAAAGGTCATAGCTCATTAAATATGCGAATCTGGTCTCCGATCCATAACTTTAGTATTGTTTGTCAGATTTTAAGGAAATTTGATATGATGGTACATGGTATCAAAATACATGTACATCCTAAGTTCGATTTCGATATGTAGGTCAAAGGAGAAAGGTCATAGCTCATTAAATATGCAAAAACACCTAATTATATATGTGGAAATGTTAACTTCCTTGCCTAGTAATATAATAGTATAGTCCAATGGAGGTAACTTGTTCTGGTGTATATAGGCCATTTTTACCCTGCGAGGGGATGCTACACTTTGCGTTGACTTGTTGGTGTTATGATGAATGATCATAGTGTGGAGTTGTGAAAAAAGGGTTTTGTAGTCTTAGGATATAAATGGCTTCTATAGATTTTAATAAATGCAAAATTTTCCAATAGTCTGGTAGCAGAATAATGGAAGAAAGCATTAAGTAAAGAGAGAGGTGAAAAGGAGAGAAGGTGAAAGGAGAGAGGGAGCAAGTGAGAGAGAGAGAGAGAAGAGAAGAGAAGAGAGGAGGGAGAGAGTAAGAAGAGAAGAAAACTATGAACCTCCTTGGAAAAAACAAAGAGAAAGAGATGGAGATGTACATATGTAGACACGGAAAAAAGAAAGAGGGACCATGAAAGGGACAAAAATCAGAAACATGGTTGAGCAGCAGAAGCACGTACACAAATGACCATATTATGTATCTTGTCCAGTATGTTAAATTAATTTTTTTAATAATTTTTTTAGGTACTCTTCTAGATGATTTTCCACCTTTCATAGTGGAACAGCCTGAATCGGTTACTGGAGACCAACGTATCCCATTAACTCTAATGTGCAGAGCTATTGGAATACCAGAACCTACGTAAGTTGCACACATAGAATAATTTTAACACTGCAGTTGTAGATTCTCAAGTATGATTGGTAGATTTTCAAACATACATTTTTTCAAGGAAAAAATGTAGGTAAAACATATTGTTTGCAAACAACATTCCAGACAGTCTTAAGCTTTTGCAAAAGTCTAAAAAGACTGTAGCTACTTTAAGTTGGGTTTTGGGTAGTTCCTATGTGCAATGAATAAAAAAAATTTTAAACACCAGATTCTGTGGAATTTCTATTGAATGTGTGTACAAAAGTGTACTACTGGGAGAAGGATTGTGCTTTAATATTTGATGTGGAAGGCAATGCTCACGTTCATTGCCTGGATGGGGTAACCTAGCTAGTGACTGAAACTTGAGGCCAACTTGAGGGATACACTATCATTTGGGATCCCTCAAAGTATCGCCTGCTAGAGATCAGAGAGCGCATATAGTTCAGTTTAGAATGAGATAGTATTTTGAGAACATTTCCTTAGCAAGGACCCATGCAACCATGCTTGTTACAATGTGTATAGCGCCCAGGGCCCTGGGAACGATTTTGTCACCGGGGGGGGGGGGGGGGGGGGGGGAGGGGGGGGTAAGAGGACTTATATATTTTTTTTTTGGTCCCAAAAATTTCGCAACGACTCATATAGTGATATACATTAAATATATCATACCAGATTTTTTTTGCAGGGGGTGCTATGCCCCCCTGGAAAAATTCCAGGGGTGCTGTGGCACCCCCAGCACCCCCACTTCCCAGGGCCATGATAGCGCCCACAGTTGTTATTGCGTAGAGTTGATGTAAGAATAAAGCGTCTCTCCTTCAGAATGTGTGAACCCTGTATTATTATGTCTCCATAAAGTAGCTACATGTAAACATAGAGGCCCGTATTCTCAAGTCGTGTCTAACTCCTGTTTAACTAAACAGTTGTCTAAGTCCTGTCTAAGTCCCGTCTAACTTTAGACACAAAGTCGTGTCTAACTTTTTTGGTATTCTGAAGTCGTGTTTAAATAAAGTTAAACACGAAGTCCTGTCTAAGTCCTGTTTAACTATAGACAACTGTGAGGGGTTGTTTAAGTTCTGTTTAAGGGCGTGATTCTGCTGCTTTTCAACGTCGACGGTACACTCTACTTGCTGACCCCGAACTTGCGGGGGAGAACGATGGTACGTGCATTCTCTAAAATTTCAAATACGTTTTGCAGGATTTTTTCTCGTGTAGCCTAATTTTTTTTCTCGATAATATTAACTATTCTTATCTACTGGTGACATCTTTAAAATTCCATAATCTATAATAAACTAACCATTCTGTTGGAGAAGTTTCTTGTTTGGTTCTTCTGAGCACTGAGGCACTGATAAGTAGTGTGTTTGTCAATCTCAGTGTACAGTACGTGTACTACGTACGTACACAGAGTACATGCAGTCTAGTCATTACGTCACGATCACATCACCATGGTACCAGCATGCGCACAGCTAGCTGTGCGCGTTAATTTATTTATCCGGTGCACGCACGCCTGCGCATTGGGTCTTTCGTCAGAATTAACGCCTACTGGGCATGTGCAGAAGTCGTGACTAAGAGTTAAACACGAATTGCGCAGAACTTAAACAGTTGTTTAGTTAAACACCACTTAGACAGGACTTAAACAGTTGTTTAGTTAGACGAGACTTAGACACGACTTCAGAATATGAAATTTAGTTAGACAGGAGACACGACCTCGCGTCTAAGTCGTGTTTAACTAAACAGTTGTTTAACTTTAGACGTGGCTAAGTTAGACACGACTTCAGAATACGGGCCAGAGAGTTTAGAGTAGACAGGAGAGAGAAGAAACATGGTGTCAGAAGCGGTGAATGTTGATCTCCAGACTCGAATATGATTTGTCGTCGAAAATGGACAGTTTCGCATGATTTTTGATATCGCGTTGGACCCTTTCCTGCGGTATCGCGGTTTCGAGATTGAGCCGTGTAGTCCCATCGCAATGTTTTAGCGTACGTGTTTCTGACGATAAATATGATGCGTCGATGCAGTGGAGGATCGAATACGAAGCATTCATGAACAAATGAGACTTTTGCAGGACTAAACATTGGACTTTTGAAAGTTGTTTCTGTAATGTACTTCCAATCTATGTTCGTTTAATATTGTGAAAACAAAGCAAGGTTTGTTGGTTGAGTAGCAGTATTTTAGATTGATTATAATTATAAAGTTGTGGTGCACACAACTGGTTATTGAGTGCAGATTGTGAAAAACAAGAGTGTTTTGGCTGAGTAGCAATGTATGTACTAGTGTTTGTTGGTACACATTTCCATGAAACAAAAGTCTAGTTACAGTTTGACTGGGTTCAGGGTCGCTGGAAGTCCATGCAAGCAAGCTAATAAGTAAGCGATTTGTATAATTGTTGTGTTGAGATATCTAGCTGAGCTGAGTCCCAGTTAAATTGAGTACACAGGTTTGGTAACTAGAGTTACAATCATGACAGACTCAGAAGCGCCTCAGGGAGAAAATCCCAGCCCCAGGTCAAGGGTAACGAGAGCTAGAGGCAATTTTCCACTTCCACGTCCTTTATCTCTTGAGGGGGATATGAAAGAAAATTGGGAAGTGTTTAGCCAAGTATGGGAAAACTATGAAATCATAACTGGCCTAGAAAATGAAGATGACAGGTTTAGAATACCGGTAGCTCATTTTATGACTGCGATTGGTCAGGGGGCTGTTAAGATTCATAATGGTCTACCCTTCAAGGACGAGGGTGACAAAAAGAATTTCATGATAATTCTAAAGCTCTGGAAGGAATATTGTAGTGGTCGAAGCAACTTGACGTATGAGCGTTATAAGTTCAATATTTGTACGCAGAGTAAGGGTGAAGGATTTGAACAGTTCTATGTACTCCTACGTAGCTTAGCAACCACATGTGAATATGGCAAGTTCATTGATGATTTTATCAAAGATAGAATTGTGGTGGGTCTGGTTGATGATTCTGTGAGAAAAAGGCTTGTGCAAGAGCAGAATCTTACATTACAGTTATGTTTAGACATATGCCGGGCTCACAAGGCATCAATGTCTCAGTCTCAAGCCATGTCAAGTGAGAGTGTAGCAATTTATTATTTATGATTTATTTACTATGTACTGTTTATATCTGGATTCATTTAAAAGTGTTAAAGCATATAATTATATTTTTATGTCTATGGAATTATTTTTACCTTGTAAATTCACTTGTATCAGCCTCCAGCTGTATTGTTGAATATTCGAATAAAACCTTATCAAATCAAATCAAATCAAAGGGTGGATAAGTTCTATCATAAGTCCAAGAATGGGTCACAAAGAAAGAGTGACAACATTATAGAGTGTAAGTTTTGTGGAAGGTCACATGTTAGACAAAAAGAGAAATGTCCAGCATATGGCAAATTATGTAACAAGTGCAACCAGAAGAATCACTTTGCAAACAAGTGTAGAAATAGTGAAGGTAGAAAGCAGAACCACTATTGAAGAAAATACAAAGACAGTGTGAAAGCATTGGGCGGGAACAATAAAGATACTGACTCAAATGAAAGTGTCATGTCTGTAGAAACTGATAGTGATGTTCAGTATAAGAAGAAAATCATGGGGAATTTTCTTATCAAGGGGAAGAAAATTGAGATGCAAATAGATTGCGGGGCAACTGTAAATATTCTTCCTAAGAAACATGTTCCAAGCAATGTAGAAATTGTGCAAAGTCCAAGGAGGCTTAACCTGTGTGGGAGTAGTGCCAGTATTGTAGCAGAGGGTACATGCAAAGTGTTGTTGAAAAATCCAAAGACTCACAACAAGTATGACATAGAGTTTGTAGTAGTGGATAGAGACTGTGTCCCACTAATTGGGTCACAGGCTGCACAGTTGATGAAACTGACCAAGGTAAAATATGAGAACATTGCAGTAGTGTAAAGAAGCCCTAGTCACAGAGTGTAAATACAAAGGATGAAGTGCTAGAAGCATACAGTGATGTCTTTAGAGGGCTTGGTAAAATGCCTGGAAAAGTGCATTTGCAAACAGACAGTAGTGTGGAACCAGTCATAATGCCTCCACGTAGAGTTCCCATAGTAAAGAGAAAAGCTAAAGCAGGAACTAGAGAGGTTAGAGGGAATGGGTGTAATTGCCCAAGTAACAGAACCAACATAATAGGTATCGGGGTTAGTAGCTGTGCAGAAAACTAATGGGAAGATTAGAGTTTTCATTGACCCACAGTACTTAAACCGAGCTCTAAAGCGAGGTCATTACCCATTACCTGTGATAGAAGATGTGTTACCTATGCTCAATAAGGTCAAGGTCTTTACTAAAGCAGATTGCAAAGAAGGTTTCCTACAGTGTGAATCGGACCAAGAGTCCTCTTATTTGACAACATTTCAAACCCCATGGGGTAGGTTCAGATGGCAAAGAATGCCTTTTGGAATTAGTCCAGCAGCTGAAATCTTTCAGTGTCACATAGATCAGAATCTGGAGGGTCTCCCAGGTATGTACAAAATCGCAGATGACATTTTGATAGTCGGTCGTGGAGATTCACTTGACGATGCGAATGCAGATCATGACAAGAATCTGGGATTGTTTCTAGACAGATGTCGCGAGCGTGGAATCAGGCTTAATCCGGACAAGCTAGAATTCAAGGGTGTGGAAGTCCGTTTCATGGGACACATCATCTCTCGCGACGGACTCAAAGTAGATCCCCAGAAAGTAGCAGCAATAGCAGACATGCCAGTTCCCCATTCAGTTGAATCTCTACAATCTCTGCAAAAAAAAAATTGGCATGGTGAAGAATCTTGCGAGATATCTGCCATCGTTATCCGACATGAGCGAGCCACTTTGTCGCCTCACACACAAGAATAGCGCATGGCAATGGGGAACTGAGCAGCAGAAAGCTTTGGACGCGATAAAGCAATGAGTGTGTGAAGCTCCGTTGCTAAAGTACTTTGACCCTGCATGCCCGACAGAAGGTCAAGGAGATGTGTCACAGAAAGGCTTAGGCTATGTACTTCTTCAGAACT